CACTAACAAAACCTTGCTAATAAGTTTTGTTCTCAATGGCAAAAATTTCAAAGTCGCTAGTAATAGTCCCCTTCACAGTTCCCCTCGCCATCCTGAAAGGTAGCCGTGCCTTTGCATTGAAGGGAGACAGACGGTGAGCTTGCAATGATAGAGACCTCTTTTTAACACCTTGGACAGTTATTTGCATGTCTCTATTATTGTAAGCTCACCGTTCGTCTCACTTTGATGCAAAGGCACAGCTACCTTTCAAGATGGCGAGGGGAACTGTGAAGGGGACTATTGAGTGTTGCGAATAACAAAAGTTACTTGATGTGGGTTCTAAACTTTTCGGTCCTTAAATTTCTGGACTGTGGTCATAATCAGAAAACTCAACTAGTCACAGCTAGTCACACTTACTCGCTAAATACAAATTTTTGCATTTTGAGAATGTTAATTTTATGACCTGGGAAAAATACATTTGTTTCCCAGAGTCAAGGGATTCTATAATTTTCTTTCATCTAATATGTTTGTCATCATCTGATCATGCAAGATTCTCATACAGGTATTCAATTGTCTGTGTTTACTTACAATAAATGCATTGAAGGCCTGATCATATGCTGCACCAGTAACTTCACACAACTGCTGAATAACCTGATTGTCTTCTGTGGTCACCTGATCACTACAGTCCATTGGTTTATCTAACAAACATGTTTAAAGGACTAAATCATCTATCTCCCTTAATAATATTAATATCTCTCCCCCTTCCAACAAACACAACACCCATTCCTGAGATTTTGCTGATAAAAGCAATCATTCATTCAATAATTCAAAATATTTATTTACTTTTTTCGTTAATTTCTTATTTCTGCGATCAAAAAGGAATCATATGCTAGAGGAAGAAACCATTTTTACAGATATAACCGAAGGAATGACTTAAAACGTTAAACAAAGATTTTGCAGCTCTCCTAAAGGTACATGCATGTAGAAGGAAGGATGTGTGCAATATAAAGCTTACAAACGTGAGCAATTTTTAATTCCAAAATAGTATACAGTATTCTTATTTTGTTTTCATTTTTAACTATAAGAAAGCCGTTGAAAAAATCTATAGAGTAAAAAAAAATTAAGACCAAACTAGACAAACCCATAGCCAAACACCGGTTAAAGTTCACGGGAAGTTGTAACCGGGGTTGTAAAAATACTACAATGACCAAATAATATTCAATTAAAAACTCAATTAAACACTATTTTTCAAGCATTTCTTACCTTTATCTTGAAGGACAGCTGTTCTACTATCATGGCTTTCGGTTCCTGGTTGGTAGTTTTTACTGTGTGCCATGATATTCGTGGTTGAACAGCCAGTTTTCTCTATGGCTCGTTCAAACCATTGAACAACATGGCAGCCATCTTTCTTCCCCTTGCTTCCCCTACCCAGCATGCTATGCAAACTAGCGTACCCAGGATACCTTGGGACATTTGACCACAGGCAACCCAGATTGCAAAAGAGACGAACTTTTAGTCTGGGGTAGGGTATGTGAAATCAAAATTTTAGGTCTGGGATAGGGTCAGGGTTTTGAGGTCCTGGCGGCACACCCCTACCCAAGTTGG